ATAGAAAATTGATCAGAGGTTGGCGGATTATGGATGGCATTACTATCATCGTCGGGATTTGCTCACCAGGTCAGTAACACGGAATATCCAGAGAACCTGTTCGAAGCTTTCGAGTCCATCTATGACAAGAATCTGGAAGTCATACTGAAGGATGAATGCGGGGTAGCCTGGGATTTCATGGGGGGCAGCATGATGATCTGCCAATCACCTCTACAAATCCACTTTGTGCCGAGCACAAAGAACACCAAATCATTGTATAAGGAAGGAAAGTTGCGATTCCAGACAATGCAGGACTATGACTCTTACTCGGCTAAGAGCACAAAGAAAGCTGTGTTGACGACCACAATCAAGAAACTGTGGGACCAGAAGACGAGCAAGGAGCTGGTTCTGAAGGCGATCAGATTTGCCATCTGCGAAGCAAAACTCCGGGGATATCCCCCGGAGGTCTCTCTCGGAGCCCTGGCCAATTTGGCGAAGGCTGTGCCTAGTAAGGCACTGCGCAACATGCTGGCTGCTTTTAACTACACAGCGGACTGGAGCAAGAGGCGTAAACGCCGACTCGAAGATTCGACCGGGCGCATGTAGGCGCAGCTGATTTTGTTTGATCTTGTTTTATTTTTGTTTGATTTTATTTCACTTTATTTTGCACTTAGTATTTTCGCGATTCGATTCGCCTTACCGACCCTTTTGTGCTGCGGGTTTTCGGATTTTCGGCCTTTTGCCATTTTGACGGACCGAAAACTAGAGGTCGCGAACCACGGTGAGGAAGAGTACCGGCGACGAACCCGAGAGCCTTACAAAGTTTTTTTTGGCTTTACTTATCTTGTAGTTTATCCTACTGTACTTTATTAGGAGGATGTACCCGGGCGAGAGGCATTGCCAAGGCAGGTTGTGTCAGGAATCTCTCGTGTGAAGTAGGAAGACCGAGAGGTCGACGGTACGGGAAAAGGGAGCTTGTGGGTAGGTGACCGGGTCTCGGAGGAACAGCCTCCGTCGGTCCACGAAATTCTGAGTTCGCGATTTTGAAATCGGAACAGTGCACCTGGACCGATACATGGGAATGGGCAACCGAGCTAGCGATCTACAGTGGGTAAACAACGAGACAAGTTACGAGTCTTGACCACCGATGTTCAAGACGCCACTTTACATAGGGATCACTGATATCAGTACCTCTTTACGGACGATGGCTGCTTGGCTGAGGACCAAGACTATATAGCATGGAGTGCAAGGCTTAGGCACTGCTTTTCGAGCACAGAGGCTCTTTGGAGCCACCCTCCTGATGAGACCTGTTGTGTGGGTGGGCGAAACCAGTCGGGGGATCCCACATGTTGCTCTCAATGCGGTTTCAAGCAGTTTACATTCGTTTTGACTTGCGCTTTACGTGCTTTGCTCTGCGTGTGTGAATTGGCTATGGCTGCACGAGCTGTTTAGCCGCTTTGTATGGATTTGGTAGTGCTATACAAAGGGAGGGTGGAAGGAAAGGGGGAGGGGCAGGGGTCCTACCGTCCTACACAAAGGGAGGGAGGGAGGGAGAAGGTATACTCCCGTTCACTCTTCAGCACACCTTCAGCTTATATTTTGTCTGTTGTCTTAATGATGCTCATTCGTATGCATTTAGCAGTGCTACACAAGGGGAGGGAGGAAGGAAGGAAACGCCGGGGGGGGAGGAGTTCTACACGAGGGAAGGGAGGAGGAAGAATGTGTTTGTGTGTGTGTCTGTCTCTGGGGATGTCTCACAGGGATCAGGAGGAAGAGTGTTAACTTGCAAAAGGTGGAGAACTCCTCCCTTCCCATTTAAGGTGCTGATGTCTCACAGGGATCAGGTTGCTATTCAGCTGCGTATGGNAAGAGTGTTAACTTGCAAAAGGTGGAGAACTCCTCCCTTCCCATTTAAGGTGCTGATGTCTCACAGGGATCAGGTTGCTATTCAGCTGCGTATGGCGATCTCCAGCTATGGCACCAGCAGGTACAGCCTCCGACTCCTGTACCCATGGTCCCCAATGCTCCTCTGCTCACCTGCMATTAGTGCTTCTCTCCAGCGACCTACGACCTATTGCCTAACGAACGAGTCATCTAATCAGAACTCCTTCTGGAACTGAGTCCAGCCCAGGTCCTAACTAGTGCTGGGCCCANAGCGACCTACGACCTATTGCCTAACGAACGAGTCATCTAATCAGAACTCCTTCTGGAACTGAGTCCAGCCCAGGTCCTAACTAGTGCTGGGCCCACCTAGCTCCCACCTGGTCCTCATTTCGAACCATCCAGATCTTCCTGCAATTGACACCCCAAAATGGAGGCCAGCACTATCACAAAATAAAGATAAGAACAACAAATGTGAAGCCTGAGCAACCTTAGGCCCAAAATGATATCCGGCAGCCAAGGTGCGGCCACCCAGAACTATGTGTGGGCCCTTGGCCCAGCATAAGCAGGTCCCCAGCATGCAACAGTCCCCTTTGTGAAGAAGCCCAAGCCCCTGTCGAAGCCTCAAGCTCAGCGCAGGCGAACCAACGATCAGCATCGCATTCACAGAAACTAAAGCAGACTCTGTGTGTCATTGGCTTGTTCTTATGATAGTGATACACGATGACATCCTATTATCCACTACCTCCTAGAAGCCGTCCATAGAGGGCGACTCCTCCGAAAACCCGCCCGGAAAGGAATCTCTCTCAGCTTTGGCAAAATGAGCAAGCTTAGAGCTGTGGAAGAACTGATGGACGCATTGGTGGTGCAGAACGTCACCAACAAATGAGGGTCCCAGATCCAGTACCAACATCCCAGAGCCCCATTTACCATAGTCCAGTCCGGTGGCCCTTCCCATACAGTAGGTCTGGTAGATTAGGTAGCCGGTAGGCCTAGTTCGTTACATATGTCAGCCTGTCAGTCCTCTCGCAGCTCAGTGCCGGGGAAGTCCATGAAAACTCCGGCTATGTCAGAAGCCGACCGCGGCCCGCAAGAAAGGGTAGCGGTCCAGAAAAGTGCCAAGCTTGGAAACTGCAGCAAGTACAAAAGCCCAGTGTGTGCAAGCCGTTAATACAATTTGCATTCGAGCCCGGTTCAGAAGTGCTGTTGCAGACTTGTGCGGTCCAGCATCGAATGATGCTGGAAGTAGATGGTAGTTTACGGCGCCCGGCACCATAGCTTAGTAGAGAGGGAGGGGGGGGAAGAGAGACCAAAAGTAGAGGACGACATTAACAGAGACGGACACACACACACACACACACACACAGAGAGAGAGAGAGAGAGAGAGAGAGAGAGAGAGAGAGAGAGAGAGAGAGAGAGAGAGAGAGAGAGA